TTATTATTTCTTAATAATGTGATTTTGAATGTGTTAGGATATGTAATAGCCAGATAAAGGACACAAAGACGACACAACAAGACCTTTTAATACTCTCTCCATCTCCACTTATCGAATACTACTATCACACAGGTATCCTGAGCACCCAACAGCCTTCCCCCAGTAAAATGTACAATTTTACGTTCATAAAATTACATGTATCTATTTGGAGGTTTGACTAATCGTCCTGATTTAGTTCTATGAATAACAATCAAGTCAGTGTTCTTGTCACTCTCAGGGGTTATCTTTGTCTTCTGATCTGGTGTCTTTATTTCATTGTAGGCTTTTTAGGCAGTGCTTTTACTTCCTTAGGTTTTTCAGATACAGCAGACTCTTTGGGCTTTTGGTATCCGTTCCATCTGGCTTGAGGTGTGCCGCTCTGTTTCGGGTAAACAATTTCAATTAAACGGTTTTCTTTACTTTGAATCACAGTTCCTTTTTTCCACTCTTGTCCTTTGGTTAGTCCTACAGGCTGTTGTGTGCTTGATCTTTTTCCTGTCACAGAATAGTGAGAATTACGCTGAGTCGTAGTTCTTTTCACAGTCTGTAACAATCTCATCAGGAATTCAGTCCCCATCGGGCAAATTGCTTTTGCATCAGCTTGATAATTTCAGCTACAGCTTGATTTTCCATTTTGTCAAATTCAATCCAGTCGCTATAGTAGTCAAAAATAACTAGGTAGTGTTCTTTKTTCCATTCAAAAATGTCAGATGCTATCTTCGACCAAGGTCTATTTGTTGGTATCTCATGATTTATCAGTGTTTCTTTTTGGTTCTTTGTCTGATAAGCTTTGCAGACTTCACATGATGMAATGAAGTGTTTCAATTGCGTGTTCATCCCAGGCCACCAAAGGGCAGTCMTAGCTCGTCTAAGGGTTGATTCAGTCCCTATATRATTTTGATGTAKTTTTGCAGTCAGTGTCTTTCTCAGTGTAGTTGGAACTATGATGCGGTCGTTTCTGTAGATCACACCATTGTTTACAGACAGTCCAAAATGGTAAAAGGTTCACAGACATGTTTCTTTTGTTGATCTCCCAGTCATTAGTGATGTGTTGAAATACTGTTTGTCAGTATCCTGTCTTTTCCTGTTTCTTCAGCTATTTCATCCAGGTGATCCTTTACACTCTGGTCTTTGTTAACAAGTTTCATTGTTTCGATATCCTAATCTATTTTGCTCCGACGTTGATCCTTTGACTGGGATCTGCTAAGGGGCATCAGCAAAGAAGAGATATTTGCCTTTCACATAACTAAATTCAATRTCAKATCCMATGATTCTGCAGAGCATTCTTTGAAGTCCTACTGGATTGTTTCCTACAGGTTTTCTTAGTATAGCTGCCAGTGGTTAATGATCACTTTTCTTCCATATGCAGTGTAAGTATGAAAAACAGGTTAGTCCGAACTCGATACTAAGCAGCTCTTTTTCAATTTGACTGTATCATCGTTCAGTGTCAGTTAATGCTCTAGATGCATAGTGGACAGGCTTGCCATGTTGCATAAGGCATGTCCCTAATCCACATGATGAGGCGTCAACTTGTACTTTCAACTGGTTCAGCCGGGTTAAAGTATTTAAGCAGTGCAGGAGCCCTCGATATCAAAAGTTTGAGGTCATCAAAGGCTTCTGGTTCATTGTCTCCCCAAATGAACACAGTGTCTTTCTTTAATAAAGCTCACAGACGTGGTTGAAAAGTCTTCAGAAAAACAACTGAGTTAGGTAACAACACCCAGAAATCTTCTCAATTCGTCTTTGTTGATTGGTGAAGTCATCGATGTAATGCTTT